TAAATTGGTCATCGGGTGTTTGGACAGTTGCTCAAACAGCAGTTCATTTCTATTTTTTTGTTTGAAACAGTCAGTCGATCCATCTAAAGCGAGTACCCATGGATCTGCGCCCCCTGTTCCTGCCAGAGCAACTTCTAGCGATCCTGCTTCAACAGTGTGGCATATATACAACACGTAGCTACATTTCACACTCATTCACACTAAAAAAGCATCGCGACCTGCTGTCCATGATCCCTCCCCTACGCAGGTGTTAATTCCTGAGCCCAGTCGCCATTTTACAGGCGCCAGCCTTTGCAGAAGTTCGCTTAGTTTTATCTAGTGCGAGGGTTTTCTGTTACTCACCGCTCACCTTAATGGATCAATCAGTTGAGATGCAGAGACCGCAGGATCTCCACAAATTCAAGATAATTCAAGACCAATGGATCTCCGTTGGACAAATCATGACAAATCGTTGATCCTGGGTGTTTGCATGTCACATGCGAGAGAATGCGAGAGAGCCCCGAGCTTGCCTGTATATCCTAGCTGAGGTAATGCCTTTACGAAACATTTGCTGAGATGGGACTTGGTCAACCGCTTGGCCTTTTAGCCTGCAACAGATCGACATGTTTTTGTTCTGTGACGGGTTTGGGCAAGTTGCCTTTGCTGGATGCCCTTCAGTTGGCGATCCTGACCATCAAAAACGCAACACCAAATGCTTTACTTCCTCGATTGCAAGCATCCACATGCAGCACAAGTGATGCGTGGTGCATTATATATATATGATGTGTGTGTGTGCCAGGCGATCTCCCCACCAACATTCCTGGCAATTGGAAGGTGGATGATGGTGTGAACGGCTCCTGCCTTACCCAATGGGTACCCCATGAGGTGTTGACATCTTGTTCGTCCATCGTCCGATTCATCCGCATCCGCTAACGATGCCCACTCCCCATCGCTGATGCCCGCCACATCCCCGGCGGAGACCGGTGCCCCGCGGTGTTGAACCGCACCCCCGAGGCCGAGAAACCCAGCGGGCTGAGCGTGTCGGAGACCTGCTCGCTTTGAGTCCGGTGGGGGCTCAGTGCCCAGCCCCCCGCTGGGCCCTTGAAACGATTATGATTAGGAAAAGGGGAAAAGCTTTTAGCCTTTGGAGATTTTTGTTGGTGTCCCCCCACTCAAATGAGGAAGAGGGAAAAGGTTCGCCTTTCTTTTGCAGGGAAACGGAGGGAGTCAGGAGGCCTGCAGCCCCCCCCCAGCTCGTGGGTTGTTTTGATGGTTGGAAGCCGTTGGGCGGGAGGTTTTGTGTGAGATGTGACCTGACTGAACATGCCCGACCACCATAGATTCGCTGAAAAGTCGGGCATGTGATGCGGCATATGATTGTTTCTTTTCTGCGGCCCAGGGCACAGTGCATCCCAAAAATACGTCCCCTTTGTAATTTGTTTGTGCTGTAATGAAATGGAGGATTGGGGATATATGATCAGACAGGAGGCCCGTGGAGCAACTTATTGCAAAACTGCCAGAATATATATGCTAGTCCTGACTCAACACAGCTCAACACCATCTACTCGGACTTGTAGAAACGATCAAATTTGTCCACAAAGATATTTACATTTTTCAGAGATTTATCCAACCCTCACACGGCCTCAAGCCAACATTAGTTAGTACCCACCCAGCTGGTACTCGCGCATGGTGTCAGGGCAAGATAGTATGTTGATGCCACAACCCCCCAGATCGAGCTTGTTGCCATATGGACCCCACCGGTGCCATCCAACCGAAGGCAGTTGACACCTTGCACCATGGACGTCCCTCGCCGTGAAGAAAGGATTGCACAGCTTGTCATCCCAGTAGTCCAGATCCAAAACCGGGCTGAAATCAGATATCGAGATATCTCGAGTGCACGTGCTCCCCCCTTCCCGGAATTCACAGACTCCACGATCCAAGGAGCTTTTGTTGTTGGCACGGCAGTTCTTTGCCTTGCATGCTTTGCTGGGTTCCTGGGCGGAGTGAGTTGGATCCAGTGGTGATCGAACGACAAGATTTGAAAAAGGATTGGAGCTGAAGGGTGAAACGACAAGTGATGGTGGATCTTAGTTGGGAGGAAGAAGTTGCAAGACAATTGATGTTACATGCAGGTTGAGAGACTCCACCTAGTTTGTGTGCCGCCTCATTTCACTGCAGGTCTTGAAGCCACACTTCTGTTCCCTGCCTTGTGGCTGGCGTTGAGTTTTACACCCCAGATTTGGAACATGGCTTTTGTCCTTGTACACTCCCTGAAATCCTGGAAGTGGAAAACCACCTGTTTAGAGGAACATGTTCATCCTAGCTTCCTCTTTTGGGGGTGCTTAGTTACCTCAAGGCTCGATCTGAGCGACTGGAGTGGTTTCAGAACTACAGTTCAATTCCTGATTCGCCTCGTGCTTCTTGACGGTGTCGTCATATGTTGTCATGGTCCTCCAACTCCCAGTCCATTGGGTCATCAGCTCCACTTGGAGACGGTCGATTCCCGAAACGTTTGAGCCACGTCAGTGGGCCACACCTTTTCCATCGAACCTGGGGATGCGGCCAAGGCTTGCTAGGTCTTTTGGTTGAGGCCTTGGCGCAGACCGTGACCTTGGCAGGCCTTTGGAATGCGCCTGAGCCAAAGCATTCAGTCAGGTATACTCAGAGGAAAGGCCAAGAAAGTGGCATACCTTTCTGTACCTTTCCATATATGGGCGTGCATGACCGCGAAGACCTCCAAATACATCCAAATACCAATTCCGGGTTCGGGGCCTACAGCGTTCCCACTATACTTAGTAGGTCTCCAGGACCCGTCGTGAATCACGGGTCGTTAGCGGCGCAAGGGCATGTCACCTGGGTGGGTGTCACGGGTGTTGGATGAAGGACATGTTTGACACAGATGGTGTTGGATGCCGGAGCACCTGCAACAAAATCTTGACCACCGGGCTCACTCTTTTGCAACGAGTGTCGGTCTTTTCCTTCCCAGCGGCCCAGTTTCCCACTCCCCCAATCCGGCAGGTGCTTGCTCAGATCTTCCCTCAGAACCAGCGCATGCCAGGGGAGACATGCCCATCGGGAGACGCCAAATCCATTACCATCATTGCCTACTACTCCCCTGCAGATTAACATGGAACCCCAAAACCACTGGGTTGTAGAGGAAAATGGTCTTCCACAGGTCAATTCTCAGGTTCTAGTTTGCGGGGGAGTATCTGGTTTGGAGGATCGGTTGACTTTTTTTACGCCGACCCTGTCGACAGACGATGCCACGTCCGGTTTCAGCCACGGTCGGACGAGGTGGCATTTCCCGTCACTGGAATGCACTTCGCACGAGAGAACGGCGGAACCAATCGAGCCGTACGCTGGTGGATTGCTTATTGGCTACTGGAGAGGCTTGGCACCATGCGACAGATGAGCATCGCTTCTTACTAGGAACAAGAAGCTACTAGTAACAAAGGGCATCACCCAGATGTGTTTTTGCTCGTTCTTTCATCCAGTCCGCACTGTGCACGTTGGAAGTTGGCGAGCTGGTATCACAAAGCTGGCCGGTGCCAGTCTGCAGTGTGGCGATAAACCGAAGCAGTGCATCGTGTCATTGGCATGCTTTACAACATCTTGATCGATGAGATCCCCAATAGTATCCCCAATGATGCATGTTCCAGAAACTTTGGGGTGCTCCAACCTGCTACACTGCTATCTATTTAGGGGACCGCTTTTATATGCTAATTTATACTCTCAAGGTCTCCCCAATTCCGTCGGCCAATGACAAAGCGACCAGCGACCTTGGGAGACTCTGATTGTCGTACATGGCTGCACATGCTACTACCACTGCAACTTAGTTAAAAAGCACAGCTGTTGAAGCGAGGTTTGCGGTTCTCACCTCACCTCACCTTTTGGAATTTCTAATTTATGGCCTTTGTATGCCTTTGTGGTGTGACACATCGGGTTTGACCCGTCGACCAGAGGGCACGACCTGAGGGATTGTCAAATGTCCCCCCCATAAGACTCATAAGACCATTTACTGTAGTTTCACCACCGATTTCGGAGATCTTTTCTTTGACAGGGGGCGACCTGTAGATTCTAGACCATCCCTCAAAATCCCTCATGTGTCTTTGAATGATCTGATCCATGCACCTACTTTTCTGAGGACCTTGTTCAGCTTCTTCCAGGGCCTCAGCAGGGGCGACACAAATCTGCGAGTGCTGGCACTCTATGGCCTGCAGTGGCGACTTGGCGGGCAAACCACAAGAGCAACTCGCCCAGCCGAGCCTTCAAACGTGCATCCGTCGTAGCATTTCCCAGCGGTTCAGCCGTATCACCCAGCGACATGATTTGCATGAGCCTTGACAACAGGAAGTATCTCACACATTCTAATACCACAGGGCTTCGAAAACAGTCCCTACCTTTGCCTTGATGCAGTCATGTTTATCATGCTCACTGCTTTTTTCCCAATGTTTGGTCAAGCTGGGATGAACAAGAACACATTCGCAAATGTTCTCTGAGTGACTTTGATTGACCGTGGTGTTTGCCTCGGTGTGGACGGGAGAAAATTAGCCCCTTTGCTCTCCAGATCCTGCCTGAAGTGGGGGAGCGAAAGGGACAGCATATACCAAATAAAACCCACTGGAAATCTATAGATTCTTGGTGTTTGCTTGCCACCCAGCTTCTGACCATAGTCACCCCGTCGTTCGGAACAGGTTTTTGATCATGACCCGTCATCCGGGAAGTGGCCATCACGCAGTGCGATCCCAGGTTGGCCTTGGCCAGGCTTTGGTGCTGGCTGCATGTGCAGCAAACCTCCTCGGTGCCTTGGCCTTTGGCATGGTGCCACATGGATGGCCGCAGCATGTGGCAGTGCATCATAGACATGTTTTAAGGCAGGGGTAGGCTAGTAGTCCAGAAAACGGAGAAAACATCACAATGACCTTGCAACGACCAGGCACCAACATCAAACATTCGCAATAGGCACGACCAGGCCGGTGTGGGACTTGAAATGGTGATGCCTGAAAGCTCCCAGAAGGCTCATGACATCTCATGACATTGAGGTACAGTTCTACTTGAACATCGTCATTGAGAGTGGCAAGGAGCATTGGCTGAGCCGGGCCACTGCCAGCACCATCCGCAGCACTCGCAGCACGTCTGTCGACACTCGGACGCACATGATGTGGCTCAAAGTTGGACCATATTGGAGCCATTTGGGGGCAAGGAGCCCCTACTAGCATCCTTGCTCCTAGTAGCTTGTTCCTAGTAGTACGGCCAGGGGCCCCTAGTAGCATCCTTGCTCCTAGTAGCGATGCCAGGAGCCCCTAGTAGCTTCTTGTTCCTATACTAGTACGGCCAGGAGCCCCTAGTTGGATTCGCAAGGATATGGGAATTTGATTTATATCTTGCGGTGCGTATTCTTGCGTGAGGGACTCAATCAGGGGACACCTCTCAATGCAATGGGTGTGCTCAAGATACTTTCCTACCTAGCCACAGGTTTTTGGGCCGCATCATTTGCAACAGTTTGTTTGCTTATACGGTTTCAAGTATCAATGACTCAGAATATTGAAAGGCATTCTTTACGAGACTGTCCATGTTTGCTCCTTTCTCATATCAACGTAAATGGCACGCGTACACACTTTCTAAAAGTGAATGGTTTACTGGTTGTTGGTGCTCAAATGCAAGCATGATGCGCGTTCAGCAACGGTGTATAGCAATTTCAGGATGGATACTTGTCAAACAATTCAAATCACAATGTTATGCAGCAAGTGGTTCAGTAAACTGCACCGAAAGAAAGACCTTCTTGTGAGAAACGTAACAAGGGGGTCTTTGGTTTCTAATTTTTGCACAACACCCAGATACACCAGTATTGCGGAATGGTTCTGATTCTATAGCGACTTTGGATTCTTCTTTGCTATTTGCTTGCTTCGCTGCTTCACCTCCTCTAAAAGGAGGCCACACACACACATACACACGCACACCACCTGCAATGCACACCAAGCTACATTTGTGCCCTGCCTCCGCGAGGACCTGTTGGCTGACAAGACCTTTGCGGATGACAAGTACGCCTCGCGCTTAGCCGAAAGCGTCGAGAACATGATCCGCGACAAGCTCCGGGATGAGGCGGCGATCATGGCCAAGGCGAGCGCAGCGAACGGGACGGGCAAGCCTGGGTGATGGAGGACCGGAGATGATGAATGGGTGGTTGGGGGTTCTGCCAGTCAGGTGGTTTTGGTTCCTCACTAGCAAGGCTAAACAGATCAGAGCCCTAAATTCTGAAGAGATGTCACCATACATGCGAAGTTCAAGCTTGGAACGCCCTAATATGTTTGTGATGTGCTGCTTGAGGCCAAGAAGCATTTCCAGCGCGGGAATCTCATCGTCGTCCTTGTTTCCATCGAGCGGATCGATATGCGGAAGATGCTCGAGTCGCTTTTCTTGCAGGTTTTGGTGCGCGCGCTCTCAAGTGTATAGGCTGACTATGGCTGACTTGTTGTTCATCAAAGATGGCTGGCTTACCAAGGTGCTTCCGGGATTCCTTCTCTCAACAGTTGTTTTTCCTTCAGGCCATCATGCAGGGCCAATGCAGGGGGACATTGTAGCTATGGCACTTCGACTTTAGACGAAACATGTTTTCATACTTACCAGAACTTCAGGGACTTCCATGGAAGCATCCATACAAATAGGCTGAACAGCAGAAGCTCAAAGATTTCAGAAGCAGACCCCCAACTACTTGAAGCCCTTGATTTGATGAACAGATATGATCACTTCACCAGGCTGAAGGGTGAGCAGCATCGTCTACGGCGAGTGGATCTGATCATGAAATGCCTTCGCTTCATACCCATTCCGCTGAAATTCGATGTGGAGGAAGTACTCCTCACCCAGCTTTGCACCTTGGCGCTTTTGATTCGTGTCGCTGTCGGCTGGACCCGGTGCGATGAAACCCTGGGGTAACACGACCAGAGGTGGAGATGACGGAGCTATATGGAGCTACATCCGCATATATGTTTGGACACATCCATGGATGATCTCACTGCGATGCTTGATGATTATTATATACATATATATATATAATGAATGCATATGCTAGTTATGTTTAGTTTGTTCTGATTCATGTGAGATGCACCCGGAACACTATGGCTCCCGTCACAGGCTTACAAGCAAGAGCAACTGGAAAGATTCGCCAAGTATTGGGTTGCCAAAGTTCATCAGAGTTCGGATGTATCCAAGCTGGTGGCCCGAATCCTCACTTGAGGTCTTCCTCTCAATCAAGTGGTTCCCCTTGTTGAAGGACCCTGAAATTGAAAGCTCATTCTCGTTCGTGCTGAAGCTCAGGTCGGAACATGATTGGGAACGTGCCATCCCAGCTCACTCGACAGATGTGTGAGATCGGAGGGGTGAATGTCCTTTGGCCGAATCGAGTCGCCATGGGACGAGTTGACGAGTCTCAACGAGTCTGGTTGTGATGGCGAAGCGGCGAAGCCTTTGCTGCCCGGTGGGACCCAATCCCCCTTCATTTCTGTGAATGATGTCCAAAGGTCAAGGGTTTTTCGGGGTCCTGAGTTTGACTACAGTGAAATGACTTCCAAGCTCTTGACATTACAAGACATGTGAGTTTTTCTTTCGGTTTTGGCCTGTCAACTAGCCAGCCAGATGAACCCAGAATGCCCTGATGAATTTTGTTGGATGTGTGTTTTTCCGGATGCACCTCTTGACCAATCGGTTTTAGTAGGTCGCCTCAAGTCGCGTCGAAGGTTGCGACCTTCGTTCTTGCATGACCTGCACGACCTGCAGGTGGATGTTGAAGCCAAGTCGAAAGATCAACAGGCTGACTACCTACTGGAAGCGATGCGACAGCTCGACGAGGCCGATGTTGGCTGATGTTGGCGCATGTTGGCGGTACAGACGCCTGACTTGTTCGTGGCACACGCCTTACGTGAGCAATGATGAATGTCTGAAATGGTTGGTTTTGCGACCTCATCATGAATAGATAGCTTTCTTGTTCTCCCCATCAGTGCAGTGAGAAAATTTGTAGATTCTCAGCTGAATCAGCCAGAGAAAATGAGTAGCGCTTTATGTATGACAACTTTCTTGTTAGCCTTTTGATAAGTATCCCATTATATGTCCCTTTCTGGGAGAAATCGTGCATTTGAGGGTGGCGATGTACCTCACTGCCTCGGATACTTCAAGTCACACCTTACAGTCAGCTGTAAATGGGTGCCACAAGAAAGCATGATGAAAGACCCACGCCGGGCCCGCCAGGAAGACATCCAGGAGGCCAAGAACCGGCGGAGTTATGCCTTTGGAGGCGACGAGGTTTGGCCCTTCTTCTGTGGCTATGGCCATGCCAAGGTGCGGCATGTGCCAACCACTGCTTGCTATCCCAGGCAGATCGCGTGGGCCGCTCGTGCCAGGGTCGTGGATCGTCAGCAGGGGCCCAGGCTCTGACGATCAGGTGCTTTAAAACGATCTTCAACTACCAGGACCTTCAAAGTGACCTCTTTGAAGTCTGTAAGTGACCTCTTCAGGAACTAAGTGACCTCATTCTGGGATCTCAAAGGGTCACTTTGAAGGTCCTGGTACTGGTAGATGCTGGTTGCCGCATTCTGATTTCAGTGCACTGGCTACTGCGGGAAGAGCTGCAAGTTTCGTCGCAAAAGAACCACCAGAACCGTTCTTCACAGTCCCAGGTGTCCCAAGCGACAGTTGAGAGTGACCTTTTGGGCAAGACATGGCAAGGCTGTGTTGAACTCTTGGCTTTTGTAGAGGCATTCCCTGCCGTGACTTCTTGGGTTTTGAGGTAGGATGTGTGCTTCATCAGCGCTAGAAGCCCTAGAAGACGCCACAAGGACCATATAAGGACCATATGGGCCGAGGGAGTGGCCGAAGGTCAAGGCTTCTGATCAGGGGGATTTAACAGTGCATTGTTCTCTTCTTTCTGGCTGGTCCACCGGTACCATTTCAACATGAGGAAAAGCCAATTGATCACTTCGCCACTTCTTTTGTGCTCCTCACAGCGCGCTTTCTCATGATTCTCGCAGGCAAATCACTTGCAGCATATCTCCCAACGTCCCTGACTGAGCGTGTGTAGGTTGAAGCTCTCTCAGTGGTTGGTCGCATTCCGTCGAATGCTGCAAAACTGCATCGTGCATCACTGCAATCCCTCAAGAACAACCGACACTTTTTCATGCCCTTTGGAACCTTTCAGCAAGTTGTGCTTTTTTCAGTGGTGTGCGAGGCCGGGCCGATGTGTTCCAATTCGATGTCTCACCCCGGATTATGATGGCTTCGTCTCACACAAGCAGAGGCAAAGCAGGCAGAAAAAGCTTTAGAAGAGGGTTCAAAGTTCAAGTGGGCAACATCTCAAGCAATTTCAAGCAAACGAAGAAACTTCTATACCACGGGCTTGGTTGGAGAAATGCCGCCCATTAGATTCATTAGATCATCGCCATTGGGTGAGATTAGGTGTAGTTGTTGTTTCAAGTCAGGCATTTCTTGGCAACTAGTGTTTGACCCGCATGCAGGTTGCTCAATGCTCAATGCTCGGACAACATAGGGCACCATGTGGATAAGAATACTTTGTGTTGGGAGCCGTTGGGAGGATTGACCGCAATTAAGTTTGACCACAGCGGTTCCCCCAAGAAAAACATGAATTTTCTAAATCAATGGAATGGCTGGGACAAGAGATTCCCCCACACACCTAGCAGAAGTGTGGCTAAGATGAAAAAAGGCTGCGCCCACAACATCCCACAACAAAACCTCCCCAACAAAAAGCACAAGTGTTCCCCGTTTCACTGCCGGAACTTGGCCACAAGCCTCAGGTTTGTCGTCCTCGCAAAGCGCCAGATCCAGTTTCGCCAGATCGAGTGGCGTGTCGCGACGAGGGGTCATTGCCCATACAGTAGTTTTTGTTGATGCTTCACCGTCTAAAAGGTGTCTTTGATAAAGGTTTTCTGAACCGGTATTGACGCTCTGAATTGATAGATAGACACGGATAGAAAAGTAGAACTTCTGCAGTATTGGATAGCTTTCTATTTGTTTGGGGGCCATGTAGTAGACTTGAACTGGTGATATTGTCCATAAATATAGCCGTCTGGCTTTTGTGACCTTGGGCCATTGGAAAGTCTTTGCGGCCACGCGACTCGCTGATATATTGGATATACCCTGGACAATTCAAATTGAACCTGCAAACCACTGGATTGTAGAGGAAAATGGTCCTCCTTGCAGGTCCATGCCATCAAGTTCCATGTGGGTCTCGGAACCCGGGTGTAGACAGGGCGGTGGTCCATGGTTGTCGGTGGTCCATGGATTCCAACGCTTATAAGGTCGTGCAGGTGCCGATATGCGATACGGAACATGTGTGAGCACGTCACCGGTTACACCCCCCACGTCGGAGGTTTTAATAACGCATCCGAGGCAATGACTAGTGACTAGGGCTGGCTTCCTGGAGGCTTTGTGTTTGTTTTTGTCGATGGCTGAACATCAATTTGGCAAGACGAGCTCAGGTCAGTCAGAACACTCACATCAGGGAGGAAGGCACGGACAGCTCAGACAGACCTCCCCCTGCAGTATGAAGTGCAAGTGAAATAGTGAAATGCGTGGACACCCATGCAGAAGGGATCAGTTCAAATGTCAACGTACAACATGTTAATTATAGTGCACTTCGTGCGACTATTGCGCACTCCTGCGGAAACGAATCCAGTTCGATGTTTGTGGGGGCGACCTCAATAAGATCAATAAGTGGGAACATGGTGGCAAATACCTGCATTCTCAGTCGGCAACCTTCAACCTCTTTTGCGAGATTGGGGACACCTGGCTCACTTGTAACAGGTGGACACATTGGTTAACCGTTATTTTCCATGGAAACGGCAAGTCAGAAGAGGCGTGTAGCCACCCCCCAAGCTTCTGGGTTGTTTTGGTTCGTGGATGGCGCTGCCGTTTGTAACAATTTTGGCCGTCAGATTGGATATTCACCAAGGCATGAAGGCCTAGGCCGGCATCGACCTCTACGTGATTGACTTTGAAAATATGCTACTACCGATGCCCTGAGACCGTAGAGAGAGGCGTAGAGAAGCATCTCAAGGTCTTCCCAAGCTACCTTCTATCCAAAAAGCTTGCATGGAAGTGAATGCCATGACTTTCTTAGGAAGACGACCTTTCCAGGATATGTTGACCTACCTGGGAGGTCAAGCTGCGTGGTGGACCAGCTCTCCAGCTTTTGACCCATCCCGGATCATCCTCATTTCCTTGGCAAACAGCTGGTCTACTTCCATCATGATTTGAGACTGCTTCTGCTTTGTGGAGGGTTGTCCTTCCTCAGCGACCCAGCAGAATCAGCAGACGTTCTTCATTCCTTTCGGTCAGGTCCAGTCACCCGGAAGGGATACAAGACCTGCACTCTCAGCTGCATGGCGGAGAGGTCTCACGGGTAGGGACCGGTAGGGAGCGGGCGCTCTGGAAGAGACGAGGGATGAAGAAGGAGGGAGAACTGGTGCGACATGCACTGTCCGTCTTAGGATTTCCAGTGTTTCGCATTGTGTTCCAGGGCAGCTCCCTGGAGTTGATCCTTCGATGATCATTGGTGGCCACTGGTGATCACGCCCGTGTATGTATGTTGTTTGCTTCAAGTGGGTTTCAACTTAATCCACTGTATGTTGAATCATGTTGAATCCCACTTCAATTGGATTCTTCCCTGACTTGTCAGTAGGATTCAGCTGCTTGTGCTCCAGCTTGCTTGTACTTTGTCCGCATAGCGGCAGGACGCGTGAACTCGTGCTCGTTCGCCTCAGCGGTTTGTTGTCCTGAAACCGATGTTTTCTGACCACTCGGCTGCTGGTGTTCACTGACCGCCTTCACTGACCGCCATACATGTATATATTATGTAATTTTTATATGTGTAAATTACACATGTGTTCCCAACAGCTCAACCAAGAGAAAAAGAACGGCCATGTAAACACCAAAGCACAGCAGGCACGATTGCAGCTCACGCTGTCTCTTCATTGGCCATTGATGAACGGAGCCAGTTTCTACCCCTACGAAGTTGAACCCCACAGTAGTGACCCATCCACAGATGCACACAGCAAGAAGCAGAAGGTCGTCAGGTAGAGTAGAGGATGGTAGAGGGTTGGTGCGTTTGGTGGATCTCTTCTAGATCGCACGGCCAAGTAACTCAACTTTTGGAGGACAAACCAGCTTCGATCGCAAAGCCTGGCATGTCATACTCAAAAACGCATGCTTCCCTCTCCCAAGTTCAACCTACCACCCACACCCCTCTGTCCATTGGTGCCCTGGTTCTAAACCCAGATGCTTGCAGTCTCTCTTTTCTCAAGTCTCACCCTACTCGGGTGAGTGACAAGCAGAAAAAAGGCAGCAGCAGCAGCAGCAGCAGCGCGGGAACAGCACCTTCCCACCAAGGCTGAGACACGAAGTCGTGAAGCGAAGGCGGAGATCCAATGGCTCCATGACGAGCAGCGTGCACGAGCTGCCCAGCACGCAGAGCACGCCTCGGAGCTCTCTGGGCGGAATGGCCGAGAGCTACCCAGGCATTTGGGGTTACGTTGGAGAGGGCCAGAAACCTAAGTGTTTTTGTCCGAGGACCACCAGCCGAAGGTCTTTTTGAAAAGGTTTTCTTGCTTGTTGCGTTTTCGAGTGTTCATTTAATGTTCATTTGCATACAGCAAATTGGCGTTGCCACGGAATTCCTTCGATTCGGAAAGCCATATTTATGCGGCATGCGTTCCGTTCGAACATTTTTGAACATCGCCGCCACCATTCCATGCCGATAGAAGTTGCATGACGTTCTAGCTACTTCAATTCGTGCAGTTGCAGTTTTGAATGGATCATGGTTTGCCGTTTGCCATTTTGAAAGGCATCTACCGCATCTAGCACCTGTTGTGCGCATCAGCACGTGTGCTCTTTTCCTTGGGCATTCTTTTTCACCTCCAGCGATCCAGCCCCGGTGGAGACCTGGTGTCCTACGACGTCCTACAAGCGTTTTTCCCATCATTGAGATATCACTTGCAATGGTTCCATGGATTTTTCATGATGACCCATGAGTAATGTCACTAGTGGAGATGGGAATCCATTTGAAACTTTTTGCTTTTGTGCCATTGACCTGCAGTAACTGGAGTTTTGCCGATTACTACTTGTTGAACATGCACACTGGTACCCTACCGAATTGGCGATTCATGCGCTGCTTTGCAGGCCAAGGGAGCCAACCCCGTTTGAACGAGGCGGTCGGCACTTTGAACCACATCAAAGTGGATGTGACATGGGTAGACCATGTTGAGCATATATGTAACGTAATTATACGTAATTATGTATTCAATGCAGACCTATATATCTACATGCAGTCAAGGGGTTATTATTGCACCCTTTGACAAGGTGTCAAAGGTCTCTTTGGGTGTCTTCAGAGTCTAATTGCTGAAGTTCCAAGTAGTTCATTTGTT